CGGCGGCGCGACGACGATGTCGCCGACAACCTCGTCCGCCTCGGTCACGAGCGGGGCGAATCACCGTGAAGAACTCGGGCGCCAACGACCCGACCGCCATGAAGGGTGCGCCAGCGACGTCATCGGGCACACCTCTAGAGCACCTCGAGCACCTCAACGATCACCTCGGCGTAGAAGTCCTCGCAGACCATGCGGCGATGCCGGCGAAGAAGTAGAACCTGCGCAGGGACGGGGCCGGGCCGGGGTGAAGGTGCAGTGAGGGGGCGCTGAGGGGGCGGGGTTGGACGGCGGAGGAGGGCTTGGCGGTGGCGGCGACGGGGCTGGCGGGCTTGGCGGCGGCGGGCTTGGCGGCGGCGGGCTTGGCGGCGGCGGGCTTGGGGCGGCGGGCTTGGCGGCGGGGGCGATGGCGGTGGTGGGGACGGCGGAGGGGGTGAGGGAGCGGGCGGCGACGGGGAAGGCAGGCTCGGTGGGGGCGGCGACGGGGGAGATGGGCTTGGCGGCGGCGGGCTTGGCGGTGGTGGCGATGGCGATGGTGGGGGCGACGGTTTGAGGTTTGTGCGCGCGGACCTGACGCGCCACCTTTACGGGCGCCGACCCCGACGTCGCAACGGGCGCGACCCTGGGGTGTCGACGGGCCCCCGGGGGCGACGGGGGTGCTCTCCGGCCGCGGCGGCCGAAAACGGGGGTCTCCAATAAGGTCCAATAATGAAGTGATCCACTTGATCCAAGGGTGCCATTGTGCTCTACTACAAAAGTTGTGTAAGATGCCCAAGTCTCAGACGCTGGATCCTTAGCGGAGCTGAGTTCTGACGGTGTGAACACGAGCAACCGGAGTGACGACCGGGACCGGGCCGCACGCCGGGAGTGCCCCGACTAGCAGTGACGGGCGCGGATGAGTGAATGAGAGGTCGCTATCTGTGGGAGATGTGTTGTTAAAGACTAGGGTGCATAGGGGCTTAGGCGGCCCTTGCGAGCGTGGCGGCGTGGTGGTATCGTAATACAAGTGACTCCGATGACACACATGATGCTCCTGCTAGTGTCATCGCTCAGAGAGCAGCCTCACCGCGTCGAAAGTCTACCACTGGCCCTGGTCGCACACCGCCGCTGAGCTGTGATGATGCCCACAGCACCAGCAGCAAAGGCGGGCGGGCCGACCCCGCGGCCATCGCCGCCGCTGCCGCCTCCTCCTCCGCCGCCGCCGCCCCCTCCGCCGTCGCCGTCACCTTGGGCTGCATCACCCGCGCCGCCGCCGCGCACCGGCTCGTGCTCATTCAAAGGCGCCTCGAGTTGCAGGCCAGCGGCACTGGCGTTGTCGTGGTCAGGCTGCCCAACGTCGGCGCGGGAGGGAGGGGGCAAAGCCGTTATGAAGAGCGCGAGAGCGAGCGCCGACGGCCCAGATTATGAGCAGCAGCCCGCCTGGTCATGGGCCACTTGCCTACGTGCGTCCAGCTTCCACTATCGGACGAACGTCGAAGTTTGCTCTCCGACCGTGCCGAGCGAAACCTTTTCCTTCGAAGCTCAGCGACGTAGCCGGGCGAGCGGAATAGGGCAGCCCTAGAGAGCATCTTGAGGCCATTCAATAGAGCCCGTGTTATAGTCGACAGTCGATCGCCGGCCGGCGCAGTGCTGCTCTGACCGCTCCGCCGGGCCGCCTCCGGGCCGCCGCCGCGGAGACGTGCACATAGGCAAGTTGGTATTTTCATATATGAACTTCAAAATACCATTGGCTAGTCTAATCCTACTCATCACAACTCGCCAGAAACACCCCCACACTATAGGGTCATTGTGTAGCACTGCTTAGAAGGAAAAGGTTTTCTGCAAGGTCCGTATGCTCACCGTGTAGTCGCCTTGT